CCTGTGAAGAAGGTGCTATGGTCATACCCATTTTACAGACGAGGCACAGAGGGGACGGGTGACTGGCTCACAATCACACAGGTAATGAGAGGTAGACCTGGGAGCTAGGCCCTAGAACCTGTGCTCCTAGTGGTGGAGTAACACAGAGGTGACAGGGAAACCTGAGTGCTGGGCTCCAGAGTGTAGCCCCTGGGGTGGGCTTTGCCACACACACTCTGAAGCCCCTGTGAGCTTGGGCTGCTTCCTACAGTGACGAGAACAGCAGCTATTTCCTCTGGCACCTTCCACCTGCTGAGGCTGGACCACCGCGGGCATGTGCTGAGACCTCGGAGCTGGCCTGCAGGACAGCTTCCTGCGTAGGGTCACGGTCGCCTCAGGCGCACAGCTGCCAGTGAGCCGCAGAGGCCCAGAGTCAGTGCTTGGCAGAGCAGCGATCCCTCCCCAGGCTGATGAGGGATGGTTAGCCTCAGCCTGTCTGCTCTTTAGATGAGAAACACAAAGCCACAGAAGCCCCAGAGCGCTTTTTTCTGTCATCTCATTATTTTTTCACTCCTGAGAGAGACAAGTACTCTCTACAAGATCCTGTGTTGCAATCCTCCCACCCCAGCCTTCCCAGCCGCCAAGGTCAGGGCACATGTGCCCAGCATCTACTGGGCAACCAGAGACCTGAACCCGTGACTTTCCATAAGGCCCCAGCATCATGTAAACAATGCATTACTGCCACGCCACTGAGACACCCTCAGCTTATTACTGTACAGCAGCTCAGGACCCTTATTTAGCATTAATCTTTTTTTTTTTTTTAAAAAGAATTATTGATAATTGTATTTGTTCTTCTTCTTATTATTATTAGTTTTTGATTTGGCCAGAGAAAGAAAGGGAAATGGGAAAGCAAGGTGCCAGGTCTGGGACTTAAACTTCAGCTGGCTATGTGAGAGTCCAGTGCTGCAACCACCATGCCACCTGCTGCCCCCTTTTCTTTTTTAAAAATTTTTCTAGAAGGCCTGTGCACTCACCACACAGACAAAGAGAGAGGGAAACTAAGAAAGCACCTGCCATGGGGGATGGCCACACCGTAATCCCTTCTCCACTTCTCCTTTTGGGATTTTGGGCATGTATGCCCCAAAACACACCTGCTCCTGGTGTGTTTTACAAACTGTCGGTTCCAGGACTCAAACTGCACAGTCAGCCATATGGATCAAGCTGCCTTAATCACTATGCCACCTGACCCTCTTTCTAGACTGAGAGCTTCACAGGGGAGGGGGCCTGGGATCCAAGCCAAGTACCTTGCACATAAATGAATGAGTGAATGAATGATAAAATGGCCTGAAATCACATAGGCATGGCCATTGTGCTGCGCAAAGGGAGACTGTCCCAATGTGATGGCTCTGGGTGCCCACTTATCCAAGATGTGGACTGAGGAGCAGCCTGTGGGTGTCCCCAAGTCAAGCCTGCATTCTAAAGACCCGAAGACACTGCCTACATCAGTTGCCACCCCTAAGCAGGTATTGCATTTGATTGTGTCAAAGCATTTTCCCCCAATAGATCCCTCACCCACTAGGGAGGGAGTACTGAACCCATTTTATAGCCAGAGAGACCCAAAGTGGCAGAAACCATGCAGAGGCCACATGGAGAGCTGGAGCTGAGAACCCTGTACTCCCAGTCCCAGCCTAGGCCAGACCCTCACACCTTGGGCCAGAGATTACACTGGCGCCTAGGGAGTGGAGCCACAGAGAAGGGCTTTGCCTCTCTGCCAGGAGCCTGGGCTGACCCTGGCCGACCCCTCTTATGCATCCGGCTCTGTCTAATCAAAACCAGCCTGGGGTGTTTTTCTCCTATTCGATGGGAGGCTCCAAAGAGCCAGTCAGGCACGAGGAAGAGTCAGGTGACGTGAGGAACCTAATTTGCCAGATGGCTCTGGATCCACCGGCACTCCCAGGAGTCACGGGACTCCACGGTCATTAGGTACAGAACAGGCTCGGTCTTAGAACCCACTGGCCTGCTCTGACTTCAAGTTGCAGCAGTAATTACTGCGGCTGACACTAGTGTGGGCCACTGTCACAGCAGGATAAGGCCCAGAGAGGCGGGTGCCCTGCCCCATCGCCCAAGGCTACTCATATGCCCTTGCCCTGTCGTCTTCAGACCATATCTGAACCTTAGGAACCCTGGGAATGATGCGGCTGGTCCTCTGGGAGGATCTAAGAAGTTACCTGGGTTTTTTGTTTGTTTGTTTGTTTGTTTGTTTGTTTTGATTGGTTTCACTGCCTAGAATTAAAAATCCAGACTCCACACAAAAATCTTGATGACAGAAGGCACTTCAGCTAACACGGGCTTATCGCAGATTGGAGTCAAGGTCCCCGAGTCTGTATTCTAGTTAAATCGGGATGGCAGCTTTGCTTAGAAAGCAGGCCCTAGCCACAGGGCCTCTGGGCGGGTGAGGCACAAGTGACCGAGGACCGGCCGACACTGGCCACCGCCCAATCCCTGTAGTGCTCAGCTTCTCGGTGTCTGAGTGCCCCTCGAAATCCTCCACTCTTCCTTCAGCATCACCCTCTCGCCTCTGCATAGCCATCTTCCCACAGCTGCCCTCTGCATGGATGCAGACTCCTGCCCAGGCCACCAGGCCCACGCGGGCTGGCCGCCAGCTCCTCTCTCTGTGCTGACCCCGCCCTGCACTCTGCTTTCAAATGTGCCTGTCCATTCTCACTGCCAGACCTCTGCGTGTGCCCTGCTTGGCACGCTCCTTCCCTCCATTCCCACGTGGCTTTCCTCACATTCGGCTTCTTCAGCTCCCATGTGGCTTCCTCACAGGGGCCTTGAGGCCCAGCCTGTCTGTCCCACCATCCTGTTTTGCTCCCTCGGCTTTATCACCTGAAAACAGCCCACAGCTAGTGTGCCTGGCTCGAAACCTGCCTCTGCCACTGCTCTGAGCTTCCCTGGCTTCGGCTCTGCCTTTCTCACGGGCTGGTGAGTCAGCTACCTCTCCAGGCTGCCGTGAGGGGCTGAGGTGGCCGAGGTGGCAATCAAGCTGCCAGAAGCTGCATGGCCCCGCAGCAGCTCCTGCTGCTCCCCATGTCAACACCCTCATGCCCCAACCCACACCTTTGGCTGATTCCAAGGTCTGTGACCTCCTTGACATAGCAAATACTGACAGGCCAAATTGGGGCCTGAGACAGGCTGGGGCTGGTGCCTTGCACCATGCCAGCCTCGCTTCCTGCATGCCCACTTTCCAACCAGGACCTCCCAGTGTCCCTCGGGGCCCTGCTGGGGAAAGCTGCTCCTCAGAGGACCAGAGCATGTGTGGTGAAAAGAGGCTTGGCTGCCTTGGCCCTGGGGCTTTGGGAGCTGGCTCAGAGCGGTCGCCTTAGCAAGTTCAGCCCCCACCGACTCCCTTCCCAATAACCCTGCTTTATATAGGACCCTGTTTGGGCCCAGCGTCCTCTGTGTAATTCACCTCGATCTTGGGCAGCTTGACCCCACGGCATCAAGGCAGGGAGGCCTCGTAAGGTGCAAAACGAGCCTAATTGCTTGGGAGGCCCCTCAGGGGGGGCAGTGGAAGTAAGGATGGCAGAGGGAGGGCCTGGGAGCCACAGAGATGGGTCACTATGTCCCTCTGGGGACACTGCAGCCCTCGGAATGAACAGGCCCACCTCATCTTTGAGCAGACTGCTGAAACAGACATTTTGAATGTCAGGAGCCCCTGAGGTGAGCCCGCCTGACTACCTGCGTGTGTCCTCCGGCAGTGTCATTGCCGCTGCTTTCTCAGAAACGGTTTTCTAATAAAAGTCCTGCCTACTGTGGGTGTCACTGGACACGGGCACTTCACACTCGGAACACCTTGCCAGGCTGACCCCACGGTCCTCACTTTGCAGACAAGGGAGCTGGGTGTTCAGCGTGGCCAGCAGAGCTGCCTGGGGGACAGCTCCCTGTGAACAGCAGATCTGGACTTGCTTCCAGGTCCTCTGATTGCCCCAGACCAGTGTGTGCCTCTTCTGTTCCTCGCCTTTTAGCTGAGCCCCCCTAGGCCTTTTGCTGGTGCCACACACCAAAAGAATGGCCCCACAGCAGGTCTCTCTATCCTCAAACTGCCAGCACCTCCTCTTTGTCAAGAGTCAGTGATGGGAAGGGGGCTCAGGCTGGGCACTGAAGCTGTCCTGTCCTTCCTTACACCCCTCCCTTGATGGCCTAGAACACCAGGCCCCAGGAGCCTCGACTCTTGCTCCTGCCCTCAAAGCCTGCCCTGCTTCGCAAGGTCTTGAGATTCTGGGTCTTCCCATTATCTTAAGCTGGAGATGCCTCTATGTCTTTGCAAATGCTGTTTCCTCTGTCTGGAAGGCTCTTCTCCTCTAAGCATGTGTGTCTTCATTTCCAGCAGCTCTGACTCCACCTCACAGCCCTGCTGCCATGGGCCTGAGCCCCAGGATCTGGCCACCAATGCCCTGACACCAAGTACCCTCACCTGCTTGGCTAGGCTGGGGGCCAAGCCCCACTCCAGACTGGGTCTAGATCTGTCTACTCTCATGTGCCTAGTCCTCCTGGTCCTTCTGCAGCTCCCCAGGCTGGTCTGCTACCCCACCTGGCCTTCTGACCACAAGGACCCTCCACTGGTGGGTAACCCAGTGAACATACAGCACAGCCCCTGGTGCTACTGCCAAGCTCCCAGAGATGGGGAAACTGGCACACAGCCCAGGGAGGCTCAAGCCCCCACTGGAGAAGGTGACTATAGAGAATGGGCCTCATTCTTCCTGGCCGTAGCCCGCACCCAGAGCAGAAAGGAAAACATCTGCTGTCCGTGGCCCCACCTGGCTCCACATATGAACGGGAAACACCAAGGGCCCTGGTCCAGCATGAGAGGGAGGGATTTTCAGGCAGAACCGACACCAAAACACAAAATAGCCATTCAGGGCACCATCCAAATCCCCTGCTTGGGTCCTGAGGGCCCCCAGAATCGGGATGTGTAGACAGAGCCTGGGTGCTGGGCTGGTCAGCACAGGTGTACTCACCGTTGGAGCGGTGGATGCAGGTGTGCTGGTTGTCACTGAGAAAAAAGCCACTGTGGCACTGACACTCGTAGCTGCCCATGGCATTGACACAGATCTGCTGGCAGCCACCATTGTTGTCCTGACACTCATCCACATCTGTAAGGGGAAGAGGAGGGAGATGAGACATCACACACCTGGAACTGCAAGGGTGGCAAGATAGCTGGTGGATATGGTGCAGTCAACGTCCCCAGGCTGCACTAAAGGGACTCCGTGGCGGTACTTGGTGGTGCTCCATGGAGAAACTCCACAGGGCTGCACACAGCGCTGCACTACAGTGGTACTCTGCAGCAGTACTCCATGGGGCTGCACACAGCGCTGCACCGCAGTGGCACTCTGCAGCAGTACTCTATGGGGCTGCACACAGCGCTGGCACTCTGCAGCAGTACTCCACGGGGCTGCACACAGCGCTGCACTGCAGTGGCACTCTGCAGCAGTACTCCACGGGGCTGCACACAGCGCTGCACTGCAGTGGCACTCTGCAGAGGTATGCCATGGGGCTGCACACAGCGCTGCACTGCAGTGGTACTCTGCAGAGGTACGCCATGGGGCTGCACTGCAGTGGCACTCTGCAGCAGTACTCCAC